GCGGGTAGTTGTTGACATCTGTTTAGGGGAGTCTGTTCTAAGTTAGTAAACCAGCTTTCCAGAGTCAGTCGTTGAAAATAGTCAGTGCTGTAGGTTAGGCATTGCGCAGAGTCCCAGTCAATGTTGTGGTTGGTAAGTCGATGGTGTTCAGCAATGTGATTGCTGACATCACCTTTCCTCGTCGCCCGTCTATGTTGAGTCAGTCTTGTTGTGAGGTTTCTGCCAGTCTCACCGATGTAGGAGGCTTGGCAGTCGGAACAATTGATCTTATAAATCGTTCCCTGTCTGTTCCTCGGTTCGTCTTTGTCTTTAACGTTGGTTAGTAGCTGACGTAGTGTGGTGATGGGTTTGTGGGCGACGCGGATATTGAAGGGTAGTAAGATACGCGAGAAGTTTTCAGATATGCCTTTTATGTACGGTATGGTTGCTGTAGTCGTAGGGGTTGCATCATGGCAACGAGAAAAACACGACTCCCGAATACTAACGAATGTTTCCGAAAATGTTTCGATGACTTCCGAACATGTCCGAAGCTATTTGAAGCGACATCAAACGCAGTTTGTCGGAACATCTAAGAGGAATATTGGATTTAAATTTTTGTTGTTAGTCTGCTAAAGAACAACTCAACCGGATTTCCAAGTCAGGCGTGAGAAATTGCCCTCAATGCGTGAGATCGACGAATTTGGTCCGCCGGCGTGAGACTAACGCATAATGCGTGAGAGTTGGGGCGTATTATAAATATTCTACTAAAATCCTTATGATTTTTTTCGGAAACGCCATGTTTATGTCTCCGAGAGGCACATGAATGGCGGCCGGAAGTTAACGTCGAGTTTTGCTATGAAAAGCCTGTAGTCGTCTTCTGAGGGCTCATAAACGCCTACTTCAGTACTTATTCTTATACAAGGACTGTTAAGGTTGCGAAATCTCAGCGGGTAAGTCGCATTTTTTTCCCCTACGTGAAAGCATTCTCAGCTGCCATTTTATTATCAGGGACCTTGAGCAAACCACGACGGCGACAGTAAAGAGAACGTGGAAAAAAAACAAGATCTAATTGGCAGAACAGTAGCTCTGCGCGTTCATTTTGAAATTTCGCACATTTCTTAGCCGTCCTTTGCAACTCCCCCAACGTCGAGAAATCACCAAAATTTGCGTCGTCTGCGAACCGAAACCGCGACTGCAAATTATTTCTATTTCCATTTGGAACTCGGCATTACTTTTATACGTTATGCTGAGGTTGAGTTGTGGCGCCGTATGAGAAGGTAAACACACGCAGCCATTTTCGAAATTCTAATTAAAAGTAGAAATTCATATTTTAATCGACGTCTTCCTTGAAGTTGACGTCTTGACTGCTTAAGGCCCCTACTGTGTCACGCGAAAGCTTAGAAGTCTTAAGCTTTTCTCATAACTAACTACACTAAATTCTCAAAAAGACTGATAGTTCCTCGTTTTTTTTTTGTATTGCATACTCAAAAATAATACTCACCTCGATGTTGGTAATATTTCATTTCAGTGAATGAAGCCATCAACGCTTACGCTCCGAGTAGACAAGATCGCATCCACCGAATTAAGTTGATAACATAAATCGAAAAGCCTTTGATATATAACTACTCGATAACGAAGCGCCGAAATTCTAGGAAACAAGTAACGATGATTCGTTTCCTTGTTTCCGAGAGGACCAACACTGGGGCAAATTTGCATATATCTTTCGTTATGGTCTAAGTACTCACCGGAATCGGGGGTAGAAGCGGAATAATGAATAATGAATAACGGCTTGAAAAAGAAAATGAATAAGGAATGACGGCTTAAAAAGAAAATGAATAATGAATAACTAGGGTTTCATCGGGAATAAAGAATTATACCAAAAAAGAATCGCGTAAAGAAGCGATGGAGATCACGCGCTCGAAACTTGCAATCTTCGTCAAATCTTTGATGTCTTTGATGGATTTTATGACGTTTCGGTGCCTTCCAGTCTCAGATTCTAGTCGCGGTATTCAATTACAGATCCTCCTTTGCCAGCCGATTGCGTAACTTTTTCCCGGTTTCGGTCCTGATTGGTGCGTGCTTTTTATGTTCGTTATGTCATCACTGTCTGGTTCGTCTCTCTGTGACTGTCTGCCTCGAGTGACGTGTCGGGGTGTTTTTAGAGTGTCGAACAGTAATCGAACAGAAATCTACAAATGGGAAAAAAAAAAAGAAGAGAGATCGCGACAGACGGTAAGTTAAATTCAAGTTTGATATCGTAATCGACATTCGGTTCATGTTTAATTGTCTGTTGTTCACTACAGTTCATACGCTATCAAAATTGCATTATTATTTCCAGGTCACGTTCCCAACCCTGGTCGGCTGAAAGCTAAGCTCAAAACGGTCGAAAAGATCGGAAAGGTGGGTCAATTTTAAGTGCTTAGATGTTGATTTATTATAGTTTTCTGTTTAGTGAATTGTTTTCACATGCTGCAGCCAATCTTAAAACGCGAAATGACTGACGCCACCGTAGAACAAAACTGAGCTTCCTTCGTCTTTTATTCAATAACTACCCGCAAAATATCGTTTCGCAAATTACGATTTTGTTTCGAAAAATAGCTAGAATTATTAATATGAAGAATTTCCCAATAAAATACACCAAAACATGTACCATTAATTAGCGCATCGAGGAACTGTCTCGAAACTGTCTTCGTAAGCAAAATTGGCAAAGCACGTGGCGAATTTCAAGATGTCAATCCCACATTTCCGACGGAATTACTAACTACTTTCATCCAACTTTCTTTTCTACCGGCGAAACATACACTATCGAATATATGTGACCCAGTAACTGCTGTAATTTACAATATATTCGTCTTATAATGTGACGA